AACAAACATTATTATTATTATTAGAGAACTGCTGGATATTACTTTGTTGTCATTTACATCATTTTATTTATTTATTTACATTTGCAGTCACTCATTTTTCATTATACTACCCTTATTCAGTGTGTGGACAGTAGTTTAACAATGAATGAAAATCAGAAAGGTTTGTAAGAGGTTTGTGGGATGAAGTCCCACTCCATGATAGAAAAACAAACATTTATGTATGTTTTTGAAAAATAATATCATGGCATGAAAAAATAGAAAGAATTATGGTACTTTGAGCATCACAGTAAACATTGCAACTATGCTGTGAATGTGAATCACTTTCCAATCAGCACTTACTGTTTCGCCATCACATTTCCAGTGAACACACACACATTCCCTCAGCCCCCAGCCTTGAATGTGCAAACATTTCAGATCATCTTGTTGTTCATTCCCCCTAGCATCTCTCTTTCTTGATGTTCTGTTGTGTTTGTCAAACTGACCCCTCTGGGTGGCACCAGGCTGTGGCACCACACATGACAACAGGCTGAAGTCAGTCTAAGAAAGATTGTAGTCTATGAAGCACAAGACTCACAGTCTTTCCTTCAGATATCACAACAATTATGCGGCCTTTAATTGCAGATAAACACAAAAAGATGGCGAGAAAAGCAGAGGAATGGGATCGAGAAATGTTGCGAGCTGTATTCAAACTTGCATCGTTTACATGAGCGCCACAGCTCATGCGCTAACCGCTAGGCCACGGCTCTGGCACAGCGACTAACCATTTGGAATCAGTTACATCGTGCAGAAATACGATACAGTCCACAACACAAAACAATAGACTTTTATTTTGTACATAAACAAGCACCTACCTTCAGTTACATCCTGAGACTCAAACCCCCAAAGCTTCCTGCCATGTTGCAGGTATTTTTCTATAGGTTTCAGTATCCACAAAAGGTCTTGTTGTCCAGTAAGTGGGTGCAGTGAGGAGACTCTAAGATGACTCAAATCTGCACATGAGCTTGTGTTCAAACAGCACCTGCCTTGACAGTCACTCCTCTAGCTCTCCACGGACAGTAATCATCCTCCCTCAGAGGCTGATTGGAGGCTGTTTGCTTCTCTCCAGAGGCGTCTGCTTTTCATTTGTTTTGATTTGCTCTCACCTTCACTTGCTGAGGCAGCAAGCACAAAGATGCATTGATCAGTGTCCTCAGCCTTGCGCACTCTCTCTTTCTCTCTCTCTGAGTCACTCTTCCTGTCTGTCCCTCACCCTATCGCTCTGTCTCACCCTGTTTCACATATGCATATCCAGTGCTGGGTCAAAGGCATCCTAAATTCAGCTGAAATTAGGCAGGGTGGGGAGAGAAAGGGAGATAGAAATGGAGAGATAGAGAGAGAGAGGTTCTGCCATGTCAAGGGGTTGTGTGAAAATTACCAACATTATAGAAAAACAGATTGATGGATGTAGTAAAGGAATGTTTAGCTTTTTACATAAAGCGTGTTCACTGTGAAATAAAGTGTTATTTGTTATATGTTATATGTGATTTATCATTATTTTAAAACTGTTGAAGGTAGGGAAATTCAAAGAAAATAACAAAAATTTATATATTTTTTAATTGATTTTATTAGGGGGTTGTTCAGATTTAAAGCCTGTCCACTGTGTAATAACGTGCTTTACTGTGTATTATTTCCCATATAACTAATTTAAGAAAGGGAATTTGGGAAAATGACAAATAACATTTAAAAGGTATTTTATTGTGGGAATAATCGGATTTCTACAGATATAATATGCACATATCTTATGTATGCATCTTATATGAATACTATGTACATTGAAAAGTTAGTTTAGAACTTTAACTTACTTTTTAGAATTTTAAAATGTCACAAAATCTATCAATTCCCATTTCACTGGTCTCACAAAAAAAGGGGGTGAAAGGGAATGTTTGCATCCACAAGGAAATCACCATTTTGCTATAAAATTGTATATATATAAGTAGCTGTACTTGTATCTGTTTAGTAATGTTTTACTACGTTCACATGTCCAAAACTTATCACTAGATGTCAGCCTTTAACAACAATATGATCAGAGATTCTGCAGATCATGCACTACAGTGTAATTTACTAAAATCCCAGGAACGTACCTATTATTTTTTTCCTCCCAAAGATCTGTTATGTTTCAGAATGCTAAAATCTAGAATATTTAAATAAATATATTTAATATACTATTAATACAATGTATGATATTATTATTATTATTATTATTTTAGTACAGAGGTTTATATACAAATGTGTTTAATACAAACAATAGCATGTGAGATCATTATTGCAGTTAGATTTTTCCATGGTAGAGTATATGATTAATACAGCACAAGTGTGATTCATGCAGTTTTCTCTGAACAACCAGTTAGAAGTTATTTAAATGAGAGCTCAAAACTAATGTAGAAAGAGCACAGATGAGTAAATTTGTCTTTCATTAGGAAATCAACAAAACTTAGTACAGTGTGCAATGGTTGATCACTTTAATGGGTAAATGAGGAATCCACTGAAAGTGCTGAGGTTATCTGGACTGTCATAGATGGTGTAACCTGGGAGGAGTTTCACACAAACTACATCACCCACTTCCAGCTGCAGGACAGCTCCATTTGATGCATATCTGTGCTGATCATGATTACGCCACTGACCTACTGACACAATCTTCTGCACATTTTTATGTAAACTTGCACCCAGTGATTGTCTGATTTGAGTACCACATGCAGTGAATCTGAAGTAGTAGACTCCTTTAACTGGTGCAGTGAAGAGACCTGCCATTGACAAAACATTCAGATCAAATATAGAATGAGCCTGATGAAAATTAGAACTGGATGTTATCCTTTAGGCATGACATTGGCTATGTTTGCTCAAAGTACCTGTTGCTGGATTGTAGTTGTTACCAATGTTTGTGAAGATGTGGTTAAATGTCAGTGTGATCTCAGTACTCTGAGGACCTAAATCACCACGCATGCCTAAGTCAGCTGAAAATGCCACTTTTGGTTGTTCTGTGGACGGAAAATATTTTAAGCAGTTTTTACTACATAACATAAGCAGAAACAAAACAAGTTATTTCAGAGTTATACAATAATATTTATTGTGTAATAAAGGCTGCCTGTACATAATCCCTTAAATATATTTAAAAAAGAAGAATCATTTACCTTCATTTTCTCTCTTAATTCCTTCCAGCTGGTTTTCAGTTATCTTTATTTGATCAATAATCCCTAAAATTAGTAAAATCATTAATTGTAACTGATACACATAAGAAGCATATGCATTTCCTATGCGAAATAAAGATTTTTTTTTCTTCCAACATAACAGTGTCTTCCCCAGGACAAAGTATGCTTCTTAACAATGTATTCATGCTTTATTATTTTATATGTGCTTTAATATTTTGTTACATTTTAATTTAAAAAGAATGGCCGCATACACTTTTAAATACCTGCATTCTCTTTCTTCAGCTCCTGCATTTGTTCTGCCATTTCTATAAAATAATAATGATCGAATGAGTGTTTATTTACATGACTTGTATCCATTATTTTAAAGATTTATTTTAAACTGCTCAACTATTTAAAAGGTGACAAAAGAAGCAACTGCTAGTACTAACTTGCATTCTCTTTCATCGCCATGTCCAACTTGACTTTGAGCTCCACCACCATGTCTCTTATATCTCTCACCTCAGTCCAGATGTTGGGCTGGTTGTTTTTTCCATTGGCCACAAAATCTTGCACCTCAGTTTGTCCATCAGTGAGCAGAAGACAGCACAGCAGCTGCAGGAGAGCAACACTCACCTTCATCCTGATACAGACAAAACACTTGGGTTTATGAAAATAACACAAACAGGCTTTGACATAGTTAATCATTACTAGCCTTTATTGACACAGATAATATTCATCCAATTACAAGGAAGAATGTGGTATGTCATAAAGTAAAGCCAAGCTCAAGAGTAAAGTCCTGTTCTCTAAATTAACAAAAAGAAGAATCAGGAACACAATAGTGCATATTTCTCTTTTCCTTGTTGTATCCTTTTATCTTAATTTTCCTAAACCATCTGCAAAACTACTTAGGAAAACTACTTTAATAAATTCCATAGTTGTATTTAGTCATGAGTTTTACACAAAGCATATCTATATCTGAACTCTGCAATACTTTCTTTCACATCTCAATTGTCATTCCTGATGCTCTGCAGTAATTTTTGCACCTCGGGTTGTCCCTCCCTAAGTGACAGACAGTATAGCAGTAGAGCAAGACTCATCCTGATCTTCAGAAGAAAAAAAAAAAATATATCAAAATATTGGAATGTTTATGGAAATAACACATAAGGTATCAGCTTTTATACTTTGTGGTAGTTAATCATTGCTACTCAATATTGACACAGATGTTTCTCACCTGTATAAATACAAATACAGAGTCAAATATTACAGTTTTTCTCAATTGCTTTGGCTCAATTCTCGAATGAAACTTTTTTTTCCCGAAACAATAAGTTCAGATCTCTGAACAGCGAAGCCAAACTCCAGGGGTAAAGTTCTGTTTGTTTCTGAAAAGTCATGTGATCTTGAGTTTTTTTTTTTTCTTTAAAAAATAAAATAAAATAAATATGGCTTCATAACACTAGATGTCGCCCTTTTACTACAAATGACAGCCAATTCCATTCAAGTTTATTTGTATAGCGCTTTTCACGATACAAATCATTGCAAAGCAACTTTTCAGCAAATTAAGTTTCTACAATATTATACAATATATACAATAATATATTATACAATAATAGCCAGGCTGTCACTCTTCAGTGCTGGGTTTAGGCAGTTGATGTATTTGATGATTAATACTTATATTGTATTTACTTATGGATTTTTTTTTTTACTTACCGTACAGTAGTTTATTTTAACGTAAAACATAAATATTTGAATATGTGTATATTAATGTGAGTATTACATTGATATTAATATTTTAATATGTGAAAGATAATGTATGAATGAATGAATCGCTTCACAACCCTGCATTAATGTTTTAATATGTAATTTTACTATGTAATAATTAATCATTTTAATATTAACAAACAAACACACACACACACATGTTGTGTTTCCATGTTTTATGGGGACATTCCATAGGCGTAATGGTTTTTATACTGTACAAACTGTATGTGCTATTGCCAAAATAACTAAGATTGAGCTCTAAAGACATTTACAAACACTAAACCTGCAACAAGGTTTTAGCTGCAGGCCATTTCATAAAATTAGGAATAGCTCTGCCACCCTTGCCTGTTTGGCTATTATCAGTTCTGTTAAATGTAAATAAAATGAACCTGCCTGCTGTGTCAGTGTCATATTAGTGCTGCAGTCAAGTGCACTCTCTTGCCTGTGTGAGTCCCTGCTTGATGCCCTTGAGACTCAAACGCAGCTCTTTAAAATGCAGTGAGTGTTGCCAAGACTGGGCTGCAGCAAAATACTTGAAAACTCTTTATGTTTCTTCATTATGTGTCCCCTTTTATCAGCCAATTATACATTAATGTGCAAAAGCCTGTTCTTCTGGGCCACGAGAACTCAGGTTTGTTTCTCTGGAATTGAAAGGAGTTTTTGAGTTTGTTTACCTTTTTAAATTAAAATACTTTCTTCAGATTCTCTCTACTTAGACCCTAAATAAAAATGTCTTGCATCATCCAGACAGACAATGGAGAGAGAAATATGAGGGGATTTCAACCACAAACAGGTCCTGAGGGGAAGAATTATATTTGCAATTTTGAAACTAACCTTTGATTTTCCACTGAAATTATTTTGATGTGTTCCTTTAACCTAATCAAAACCAAACTTGCAGATATTATTGAAGCTTTAACTCTCTGTGAAATCAAAATGTTTATGCACTTTTAAGACAGATACAGACAGACTTGCCAGTGATTTCCCGGATGTGATTATATATATATATATATATATATACAACGTGATCTCATGATAATTCGTATGTATTTTACGTAACATGTGGTTCTATAAAACGTACATTTACTTACGTTTTTACAGGCACTAAAACGTACAATACTGACGTATTTTCAAAAATAAATAACATTTCTGCAATCGTTTAACCTTTACTTGTCATATCATATTTACTTTGATTGCCATAGGCCACAAAAGGCATTTTTTGTCCCAACATGCTGTGACTAACAATAGAACTATAAAATACACCAAAAACTCAACATAATTACGAAATGAAACAATTTTATTCGCGCGCTGTAATCCAAACCTTCCGAATCCATACGACTGCGAGGAACAGACCCAAATCCAAGCCTTATTCGGCGATCTTCTTCTCCATCCCAAGCAGCGAGTCCAGTGACCGTGAGCAGCAAAGCCCGCACTAACTGACGCGCTCTTTACAAATTCAAATGTTGCCGCTTCAAACGGTAGGTTTTACGGCAGGCTAATCGAACGCTCATTGGCTCTCGCCTGCATTCGTCACAGATTGCGACAATCCGTGTTTCTGGTGAGGTGTGTTTGAATGATGCGCACGCGCCTTCACGAGTTCACGGAGTGGATCTGGAAAATAATCTGGATAATATTTTCAGCGATTAACAACATAAATTCTGCTCTGGATCACACAAACCTATTGTATTCCACCAGAGTGGACTGCGGGTGCAACGCATCATTTGGATTACATTTGGTGCTGCTTTTGACATTTTTGCAATAAATAAATGATTGTAATTGCATTTATCTGTCTGTCATGTTTTTTACACTGTACAGAAATGTTTAGGTTTATAAGTAGGAGTGGGATTAGAGACTATAAAAATATTTTAATGCTATGTTACTAAAATGGTTATTTTCCTGCATATTTCGGTCATTTGCGTTTTATATCCTTTTATATTCGCTATAAAATGGGTAGGTTAAGGTTTGGGGGTAGGTTAAGGGGTCTACAAATCTAAATTGCGTATTAATAAAATTATAAAAATGCATATTCGCTGTAAAATGGGTAGGTTTCGTAAATATTTGTACGTTTTTTAGCTAAAAATACGTAGCGTTGAAATATGTCTAAATTGTACGATTTAGCATTAATAAAAACGTACAAAAATGTACGTTTTGTGCTTGTAAATGTTACGTATTAATTCCTACGTATAAACATGAGACCAGGCTTATATATATATATATATATATATATGTATATGATTATTTGTAGATCTAAAGAATAGCTGAAGCAAAGACTAGTTAGATAGTCAATGGCATCTAATAGTACACAATTTTGTTTCCAGCAGGGCTTTAGGCTATAAACATCAGTCAGCCACACTAATGATCAAATACGTTTTGTTGTTGTTGTTGTTTTGTTTTATTATGTTTAATTAATATTTAATATTGCTAAAGGTTTGAAAAACTTTGTGATTGACATTGGTAATGATAATGGTACAAGTATATTGTTATTAGATATTCTATTCTTCTTTTTGTTAATTTATTGTTATGTATAAATTTGCAATGATATTATTGAATTAAAAAAATTGTTTATAGTGCTGGGTGAGTA